TTCAGTAAACAAAATAAAGAAAAGAAAGTTACATTTAAAGAGATTCAAATTCTTCAAGGAGGAAATAAAATATTCAATTCCCACAAAAAAATGACCAAAACTAATGTTTGCTTTTCATACATTTCTTAACAACTTTTCAAACAATTTATTATATGTACATGTATTTACTTGTTTATCCTTGATTATGGTTGCAATTTATGATATATGAAATTACCATGTCTGCAGTAGAGAAGGAATACCAATCTGGCTTCCTTGATGTTCAGATCTATCTTGCACTGATCCACTGTTTTCTCTAGCGTATTCATAGATTTGAATGCTGACAGGCATGACTGGCATTACAAATTGAAAAAGAAAAGTTTAAATGTTAAAAAATAGGTATGCATAGTAGGGTTTGTTCATTATCCATTTTTTATGGGCTTCCCTCCTCTGAGATTCAAAAGGTTCTGCGAAACATATATTTTCCTTATCCAACGTTATTGTTTTATCCCTTCTGATTGGCAGTGCATGCACTCTTAAAGGCAGGCAGAAATTCATGAAGAGTCATTTCAAGATCTCTGATGTTCCACAAGTCACATTCACCAGACGTTTTACTGTGTTAAAATCTAATTAGGCAATAGTGTGGTGTATTAACAAGGCTATAATAGAAGCATCACTATTTCTCAGAAATCTTTGAAAGACTTCAAGCATCTACATGCACTATATAAGGAGAGCTGCTACATGCCCTCTTTATGATAACAATATTTCTGTCATTTTACAGGCAGAAATTTTAGAAAAAATATGTGTAATAATTATTATTACACATATTTTTTCTAAAATTGCTATCTGTAAAATGACAGAAATATTGTTATCATAAGGGGGTTATGTAGCAGCTCCCCTAACCCTAAAAGCCATTTTTTTGATACCCTAACTTTGCAACAATGCAAAATAATGATAAACAATGATGTGTTACTGTTTTCTGCAACCAAAAAGGAAACACCTTATGAGCAGCTCCTACATTACAATCCTGAGGAGGTTCCTCTACTAGATGGATCTGCCACTTCTTAAAAAGTAAATAATGGAGTTTTTTAATCTGGTCAGTGTAAAACGCAGACTGCGGACTGCAGACTGCAGACTGCGGACCAGGGGTAAAATGCAGACTGAGTGTAAAATGCAGACTGCAGACTAAGAGTAAAACGCAGACTGGGGTAAAATGCAGAATGAAGACTGTAGACTTTTTTAAACATTTGTGCTCCTTCTTCTTCAAATCGGTGAAATAGCTAGCCGCTATCAGTTACACACTTCGCTTCCTAGTCGAAGTGAATTGCACATTCGCCTGAAGTTTCAATGAACATCCAAACAGCTTAAGTCTGCGTACCTTGATTTGCAATACTTTCATAGAAGGTCATCCAAATTTCCTGCAGAACATCTTTCTTTGTTGTTGGAATGACTTACTCCCGTTTTTATCGCCATAATTCCTGTACAGTATTTTGGGTCAGCAGCTTTCATTTAAGCGTAAACATCGTGGTGTTGTACCAGTTCACGGTCCCTGGTCACGTATATCGAAAACTTCGCATCAAAAATTGAAGCGTGAAGTCTCTCGGATGGAAAAAAGGTTCAAGATTGCGATTATGTTTTCGGGTCGTCGACAACGTTCCAGGGAAGAAAGGAATGGATTTGTGAAAGCAGATGTCATCAAGTAAGTGTTCGTTTACAGGTATTTGCGGGATTTTTTTGCCCTTAAACCCTTCCACGACTACAGTTTATGCTCGGTCTGCATTTTACCCCAGTCTGCGTTTTACTCTTAGTCTGCAGTCTGCATTTTACACTCAGTCTGCATTTTACCCCTGGTCCGCAGTCTGCAGTCTGCAGTCCGCAGTCTGCGTTTTACACTGACCGTTTTTTAATCAGATGTACAGTTTAAGTTTTCTTTAGCAGACACCCTTGGCAAGCAGAAAAAGTGTCTACAATGTACAGCTGGTACTGTCTGGGTGTTTAAGGGGATGGTTTTTTGGAGGAGAGTTCAGACAGCATTTGTCAAAGTGGCAATGAGTAGAGCTGCTATCTTCTTATTGTGTCCCTTACTACAAGAGCTGTGACTGCATCAAGGAAAGAACATGGTTCACATTAGTGGTGTAACGGTTTATCTAATTCTCAATTAATCGCAATTATGACCATTCAGTTCGATTCACGATTCTTTGCTTCCATGTTTTGATTTTGGTTCGATTATTGCACACCTTTTCCAGGGTGCCCTTAGTGAGTTATTAGATTGTCAAATCGGAATCCAGAACACTTTAAATTGTGCGTTTATGATTGACAAGCAACGATGATAGCATTTCGTGTGCCATTTTGTGTTGCCTGGTAAAAATGCTCTCCTTCAACCACCCCTTGAGAATTTCCAAATAAGGCAAGCTATGTGCGACACGCTCTTTGTCAGGTTCTCAAAAATGGTGATGAACCAAGCGACTGTGAATCCTCCTATCCCTGCTACTATTCTCAAATTGAGGGTTTAGGGTTGCATGTTGTTTACGTTACGCGTTATGTTATAAGAATTAAGAAACATTTTTTTTACATAATTGAATCGAAATAATCGAAATCGAAAGGCAATAATCAAAATCGAATCGAACCACAAGGAATATGAATCGTTACACCCCTAGTTCACATTTCACTGACCTTCATGGCAATCTTGCATTTGAGCAAGTCTTCTCCTTGTGAATCCTCTGACAAATCATTTGCACCATCATCATAACTAATGAAAAAGCTTTCGTTGAAGAGGAAACAAGCATATGCTGAGCGAGATGAGTTGACAGTTCTCAAAGCAAGCTGAAATTAATGTGAGAACAACAGGCAGATCAGTGCCATCCAGGGGAGGGGGTCACAGTAACACAAATAGTTGATTCTCCATGTTTGTAGGTTAAATCACCATGAATTAATTTTTTGTAAGCAACTGCAACCACTTATAAGGTAATGATTAAACATTTTCCTTTTTATTAAAAAATTACTGTTAACCTGTAGCCACTACAATGACCACTTGCTCATGGTCTTGTCCTCTCCTGGAACAAACGGAGAAGGAAAACACGGTACAGCCACACTGGGTTTTGTGGCTTCATTCTGTGATGTCCCATGTTCACTTCCTGTATGTAAAATGCAACCGAACTTACTGATAACTTGGTACTACAGTCGACTCTCTCTTAACGGACACTTCTGTGAGACGGACACCTCTGTAAAATGGACACTTAGAGTTGGTCCCTGTCTTTCTTTACTCCTTTTATTTGACTCTCTATAAGAGGGACACCTCTCTCAGACGGACACTTAGTGCTGGTCCCAAAGGTGTCCGTCTTAGAGAGAGTTGACTGTAGTCATATTGTACACACAATTCAGAATAGTAAACGATGACTTTCTTCAAAAAAGCGGATACAGGACCTGGGGCCAGTTGAATAAATCCTACTACATAACCACTAACATCTGATATTCAGCCCAGTTAAACGTAATATTTTTACACCAGATGTTAGCAGTCACATAGTAGTACAGGCATGCTCTCTCCTGTTCCTGGTAGAAACTCCCGTGGGCAGACCCTTGCATAGATGCCACCTATTTTGGAAGTCTCCTGGGCATAGCACAAATCTCCCTATCTCCCACACCGGTTACCAAATCTCCCTGATAAAATCAATTTTTGAGTTTTTCCATGCTTTAGTTTGGACTTAAGCCCTATGATTTACTCCTTAAATTAAAAAATACACTCTCCTCTCATAATATGGTTTCTGCCACATTCTGGCCTCTATTTCATCACTAACAAAGATTATATCATCATAGAGTACTAAAGTGTGACATCATAACAATGAAATTCCTGAAATCATGGGATTTGTCAGGATGTTTTGAAAAAACAATGTCCAAGAGGCCTACTTACCAAAAATGAGCATTTCGGGGCAAATTGTCTCTGAGATCATAGCCCAGTTATGCTTAGAAAACTCCATACAAACCCTTCTAAATTTTTTTGGCTCGACCCCAAAAAAATTAGACGGGTTTGTATGGAGTTTTCTGAGTATAACCGGCTAACATCTCAGAGACAATTTGCCCCGAAATGCTCATTTTTGGTAAGTAGGCCTCTTGGACATTGTTCTTTTAGAATATCCTCATAAATCCCATAATTTCATAAATTTCATTTTTATGATGTCAGGGGTGGTTGATCTTGAGGAAGTTGAGGTTGGCATCTCTGCCCTTCAAAGTGACTGGAGTTTTCTGAGTATAACCGGCTAACATCTCAGAGACAATTTGCCCCGAAATGTTCATTTTTGGTAAGTAGGCCTCTTGGATATTGTTCTTTTAGAATATCCTCATAAATCCCATAATTTCATAAATTTCATTTTTATGATGTCAGGGGTGGTTGATCTTGAGGAAGTTGAGGTTGGCATCTCTGCCCTTCAAAGTGACTGGCAGCAATTGGCATCACTTAAGGGTGGGTGACTACAGATGCTTTGACCATACTGGACATTACATTGGGCTATCCGCATTAGAAGTGGTGTCTGCATGTACATATGATATCAGATCTCACTCGCACATAACTGGTAGAGAGAGGTGATCATTCTTTCAGATTGCTTACCCCTTGAGACAAAGCCTCTAGATATAGCTCATCACCAATCCTGGACAAACAGTGGATAGCTTTTGCGAACACTAAAGAAATAGAAATGAAGCTAAGAAAAATCTATAACTTAAATTTAACTTGAAGTCCACGAACAGAGCAGTAGAAGATACTTCAGAGTACTTGCATTTCACTGATCTCCCGGGAATCACACAGCGCATTTTAACTTGTTTTGGCGTTTTCTGAAATCATCTTGTTCTCTTCCACAAAGAAAACCCAGCCTCTGTGTCCTTTTCACCCATTTCTGGTATTTCATAACGCCATAAAAATTTCACGTCTTTACTGGCAACTTGAGATCCCAGTTATTCAAAATGGCGCCAAATATTTTAAAATCCGCTGACAAATAAAATACCTGGCTCGACTGCTTAGTAGCCACTCCTTCAACATGGCGTCGACAACAACAAGGCTTCCCCCTTGGTTACTGCTTTCAAAAGAAGATATCGTAAAATCAAGCGAATGGAAAGACTTGACCTCAGAACTTTTCGATGCAGTACAACAGCAGCTCACGGAAAGCCATGTTTCTTACTTTTCCGATCTCACCGATTCGGAGAAAATCATGTTTCTTGACCGTGCAGCAAAGCTCGTTCGCGATGGGTCTTCCTACCGAAATCTGACAGGAAAGGTTTCAAGAGTTCTTGATCAAAATCTTAACGAGGAAGTAACACAAAAAGTTGTCGATCCATCAAATAAACAGACAAAGACAGAACTTCTTCTACAAGAGGCCTCCAGTGCATCCATTCAGTTGTTACAAAGATGGCCAGCTTTGAGAACCAAACTGTTTGCTTGTTTAAACCGTCCTTTACCAAAAGACCTGCGAAAAGCAATATGGAAAATGTTTCTAGCTAACCCGATCGTTCGTCAAGAGTATTTAGAAAAGGCTTTAAGAAACAAACAAGAGACAATTTCCGCGCACGATACAGCAATAAGTCAGAAGTGTCATGCTTTTCTTTCGTTAGAGTCAGCATCACCACGAGAACTTGTATCTCACCCCGCTGTGCTTGCTGTCATGAAATCGGCCCTATCCTACCGACACGTTGTACTGAAACACACATCAGCAATGGCTGATACAGACTATTTGTTAGTATTGCCTTTCCTGAAAGCGCTAGTTGCTGATGACGGTGATAAGCCAGTTGATGCTGAGGAAATTGCAGGCTTTATTGAAGCCTACTTCACCTTTATGGACCGTAGATCCCCCTTAATGAGAGATTCTAGATCCAAGGTATTGACCTCATGCTACTTAATGTAAGACTTTGCATATATTTTTGATCCAGAATTAATAATAATAGTAATAATTATAACAATAAATAATGATCATTTAGATTCATTAACTGAGAGAGTATGTTAAACAGAAAGTTTGAAGACATAATCCACATAATAAAAAAGCTCTTGTCCATTATACCCTTGCCAGCCAAAAGGTGATAAAGGATAAAAACAATTTGTTGAGGGATTTGTATTCATTATGAAAGGTATAACCTTGTGTATCACAAGAGCTATATCAGGCTGTGAGACATGCCAGGCAGAGTATGTTAATGGTGCCCCTGAAAATCGGTCTTAATTAACCATATCAGCTACAATGAAACTTGGCCATAATAATTAGTTGTTTAATTCATCATTATATTCTGCTGCCTTTAGGAATTCTTTTCAGCTCAAAAGCAATATGGAAACAAAATGACTGCAGCTTTGGATGCAAAAGATAAACAGCTTCTTTCCTCTTTACAGAGACTACTTTTACCAGGTGCCGTACCCCTAGCTGCTTAAACTATTATACCAAAGCACTTAGGATTTTATGTATACCCACCATTATGTAATACATTCAAAGCCATAAATCTGGAACCCAAAGAGCCTGCATAAACTGTCCACCAGGTCTATAATAAGTGGGTGTCCTGTGATGAAAGTCTAGACCATCTGCAAATTAAAATTTGTCAATAACTTGCCTTTAACGACAGTTTTTCAGTTTCTAGCTTTGTGCCAACAGTTTAAAATACTTCATTTGCTAATTAATGGTCAATTTCTGTGTGTGCAGATAAGACTGTTCCTTTAGGAGAAAGTTTGGCTGCTCTCCTACGTTCATATGCAAGATGCGTGTTTGTTGGTGTGTATGATTTAACCTTGATTATGAAGAAATGTTGATTACTTGTATAATGTAATTTGTACAGCTGTGTAATACAACAAAATACTTGTTACATAGCCAATATATTAGGGTAGGTCTTGAGCATTCCTTCTTTCACCTCTCTGTAAAAAACCTAAACTGTTAGGGAACTTATCACATCAGTTATTTGCATTGTGTCACTAGAGTATAAATCCAAGACTATTGACACTATTACTACCAAATTAATAAGCATTTCTGTGCTGGACAGAGAGCTTGACTTTTAAGCATGATATAGTGGTGAGTATCTATAAAGAGATCCATTACTATAATTGAAAATTATTGTAAGGACACAACCAAGTAAATCTCATCTGGAATGATTCAAATCTTTTCTTTTCTAACATGGCAGGTTTTCTGTCTCTTGATGTGGTGTGTTACATTTGGGATCAGTATATACTGAGTATGAAGCTCCCTTCCTTTGACTGCATTGCCACTTTCTCTACTGCCTTGCTTATGCTGCTAAGAGATCAAATATTAAAATGCAGAAATGTAAGTGCCAATTATTCCATCGATTGTGTATGTAGATTAAGGGAACCTGGGCATAGTTAAATAAAATTATATTCTAAGCTAGAGCAGCACTTTAAGGATATTGGCAAGTTCTTATTCTCTTAAATATTAAACACTTAATTACTGGTCCCAAGGGAAACAGTTAATTTTGTTTCCACCGAGTGAAACATTGAGATTCAAGGGAAACAAAATTGACTGTTCCCGAGGGACCAGTCTTTAAGTGATTTGTTATTCAGCTGGAAAATTTTGAGGCTGGAAATTCATTAACCCTCACTGTACTGGCAGCAATTGGTCAACATTCACAGGTCATGAACAGCACACTGTTTACTGTTATCCTCTAACGTCATAAATTGTACAGTGTTGCCTTCTCAGAGATTTTGGCGGGAAACAGTTTCATTGTTAGATGTCATGTGACCTTGTAGTAACCAATGACAGCACGTGCTGTCGGGAAAAAATTTCCAACTTTAACAATACAACGTATTTTGGACACTGATGTCACCAAACATTATCCCAATTCAACTTCTGTAAGGAATGCATTTGGATCCTTAGATGGGCAGGGCAATTTAGCAGCCAATCAACTCTTAATGCCGTGCAGTTGTGCTCAAAGCAAGAGTTGAAACAAAAGGGAATTTTCAAAAGGGGAAGGTTATCCCATCTCCTGATGAAGAACACAACTTAAGCATTTAAGGTTTGTTACTTATATGCAAGTCTTGTAGCTAGTGTTACATTATAAACAATTCACAATATTTATTATATATATAATAATATTCGCCATATTCATTTATCTCTCTCAAGGCTAAAGAAGTTGAGGAAATGTTACTCGCTGAGAGCAAAAATTTGACAATAAGAGATTTTCAAACTGTGGTAAGTGAATCAGTACTTCTTTTCATGTGCTGTCGCGATGGACCCAATGAAATCGGAAGCCTTAAAGAGCGTACATTTCCCTTACTTGGCCTATGCAACGGTGTTTTCAACGCTCAGTATATTTTTTGTATCATTTTGGAGTACTTTTTTTGTGAAAATGGAAACACTGCTCAGTGTGTGTGCGCATATGTTACGCGTTTGCGCAGTTCGTTAATGACAAAAATAAAGTAGATACCATCAAAACATAATAAATACTATTTTCTGGCCTCCGCAGACTGAATTGTAAAACTAATAAGCGATAAAATCGATCTAACTGGTCGGTGTAAACGCCGTTGCATGGACACAAGGGAATTGCTCGCTCTTGCTGAAACCAATGAAATGTCCCCATCTGCTTGCCCGTAAAACATAGTTGTTTTCGCCACATTTTCAGCCAGTTACTAATAATTAAAAGAAAGAAAATTGCAATTTGCGTCCTTTTAGTTAGGGTTTGCTACTAGTCGTCTTACAGGCTATTCTGCTTAAGTTACCAGGTTGATTTTGTCTGAGGCGTTTGATCTTTTTTTCGGATTTTCTCATCCCATCCCCACAAATTTTGTTTTTCCATTAGGCTTAGGCCAAACGTCGAACTTTTCATGGGACGAACTAAACTCTAATTTGGTTTAAACCTAAATTAAGTTAAGATCGTCTGTTGGGTCAGACGTCGAACCTCGGACAGCTTCGGACGCGTCGAACCAGTCAACTGAATCAGACCAAAAAGGTCCAAAAAGCAATTTTAGCCTGCCAGTAATAAATTTTCTCCCCAAGGAGGCTAAATGTACGTTATCATAAAAATTTATAATGTATTAGTTTAGTTCGTCGCGCGTGAAGACCAACGTCACGGAGACGATCTGCAGACGTTCTGGCTGTCTGAAGCAGACGGATAGAACGTGTTGGACGATCCAAACTCATTCAGACGAACTTAACTGAGCCCGACGTCGAACTTTTCATGAACTTATTAACTCACTTCGACGTTTTGCCTAGGGCTTCTTTTAAAACCTATCAAAACTTGAGGGAAATACCTGTGACTAACGTGAACTGCCGTAGCTCCAAGTAGACTCATCTGGTTTTAATCTTGCTCCTGACTGGATTCTTTAGATTGATCGCCATTTTATGGAAGATTGGAAAAGACAAATCACCGAAGAAGTTCACGGTTCCGAATTACCGCTGGTGGATCCAGTGGCAAGTACGTCGTATTCAATTTGCCCCATTTTGTCTTATCTTGTTTTAAGATTTTAATCCTTGTGATTTATCCTCAATTAACTCCCATTTTGTTTCTTTTTGTAATAGCGGTTGGTAGGTCGGCGGAGCCGTGGTCTATGTGGTTTCGTGCAGAGCCTCCTAGCCGACAACGTGTCGAAGATCGGCGGCAGACTCGCGAAGAACGAGAAGAAGAAAGAAGAAGGAAACTCGCAGAGCAGCGAAGAGAAGAAGCCCGGAAGAGAAGAGAAGAAGAAGAACAGATGCGGCACCGAGAACAAGAGATGAGACGGGAATTTGAGACGGAGAAGAAACGGGAGAAGGGACAATTAGTGGCACTGGAGAGAGAACTGGAACGTGAGCGTAATGAACGAGCTTCAGTTGAGAAGGAAAAGGATGACGAGATAGTGCGACTGCAAGCCGAACTTGCAAGATTGGGTGGGACATCGGCCCCATCTCCCAGGGGTATGTCTTCATCCGCTGCACCGTCGGTTAACACTCCGCATCCTAGCGAGCCCAGCCCTGAACCCTCAAGAAGTTCACACCAAGAGGCGGAGGACCTGGTACGGTCGTTAATTGGGGGAACACTTCGCAGCTTGGATCTGGGTGAGAACTGGTACCTAGTAATATAAATGAGTGTTTCTTAGTGTTCCTGAAACCATTGTTGGTCGCTTTTGTGTCGTTGTGTTGTGGTGTTGGTATTGTTCAGTGTCAATCTTGTACCTCGAGTTTACCTCGAGTCTTCGTCCCTTACTGCGCATGCTGGCTTGACGAGACGCTGTTTCCCGACCGCTGGTCAAGGGGAACGAAGACGCTGGGTACGAGGGTGGTTCAATGTCTTTTCAATCTTTTGTGTTACGTCATTTGGTGATCTCACCCACCCACAACACTAAATACTCTTTAGAAACTATTTGGAGTCTTTTGGTGTAATTGAGGACATTGAAAGCTTTTCTCAATTAGGAAATTATCAGTTCTGTGCCCGACAAGTTTAGTTTTAGTTTTGCCATTGATCTTGGTCAGCTACTCATCAAAGGAGGCTGAGCGCAGGGTGGGGTGGGTGGAAATTCAAATGCGTGTGAAACCCTGCTGTATATGCTGCCCTAGATTGCTTTCCCCCTCTTCGTGTATGCGTCCTGGTGTATACCACTTTGAACTGGATTGTAAGCTCTTACGATGAATTTGTTGCAGTGGCCCACGGCACTGAAGAACAACGGACAAATCTTGACGTCGTTACAAGAGAAGCTTTGGATAGAAATTCTCTTCAGTACAGAGAAGCCGAGAGAGAGCTGTTTGGTCGGGAACTTGAAGCTGAAGAATGGGACAGAATGAAGGAAGAGGAACGGTCGGAGAAGACAAATGAGCTCATGAAGAGACTAAAAGACAAGAGAAAACTGCGATTAAACGCGGCGGCGGTACAGTAAATGTAGAGAAAATACGGTCAATGTTAAACGAAACCAGGAGCTTCCGCTCAACTAATTATCAAAAATTCACAGCGAAACATTTTTTTAGAAGCTTAAATTTGAATGATAAACGATAAGTTTCATTACCTTCAAATCTGATTAGGCAATGAAATTAGAGGCAGAAATGAGAATTGTGGTCGTGCAAGCTGGATTTGTTCTTGGTAGTGCTATAGCGAGTTTAAATCCCAGACCAGGCTTGGAAATAGCCAACTTGTTTGCCTCCGGCCAGTTGGGATTCTTAACTTGAATTATTTGTTTCATTTCAAATTAAAACGCCCCATAAGCAGGGGGAGAGAACAATTAAGTTTAAGTTTTTTTGTCGTAAACCATGATCAGTAGTAAAGCTGACGCAAGGTATTTCATTCGCTAAATGTTTCAATCTCTTCAAGCTTAAGTACTGTACAGAATATAAGTTTTCCTGCAATAGCACGACCTGTTTCACTAGGCTTGGCTCATGCACTCTGCAACATTTCGTACGACATTATACGCGCAACGCATCGTCGCCGTTATACATTACGGTGGGCGACTTTTTTGGTCAGCAGTTTCCACTTGTACGAGAAAATTTAATTGGCTGGAGATTAAAAGTTACAGGCATGTTGCAGATAGTAGACAGAGGAGATATTTTTTTGCGCGCGAAGTTGAACGAGAAGTGCAAGAAGTTGCGCACAGCAGTCTGAGAGTTAGACACGTGCAGCGGTGCTGCAATTTGACCATAGCGCGCAAGTTCAATACCATTGGTCTTTATTCTTTCTTGTAAAGGATAAACCATCCATTCGGTTCATATAGAGAGATTTTTGCTTTAAAGAACAAGTCTAAAAATGCTTACAAACACTTACTAAAGAAAAAACGATTTTAATTAACATTGAATTTTCTATTGGCAACTTTCATCGCTTGAAGACGATCTGCTTCCCCTAGTTGGGTAAGGCATCGTTCGGTGCATGCGCAGTGACTGGTAAGTACGCTGGCCATATCCGGGGCTCGTCGGGGATGTCGGTGACATTGTCATTGTTGGAGACATTGGATTAGGTCCCACGTGATTCATCATTTGGGGCATCATTGGAATGTATCCCCCTGGTGGGGAGGGGTTGGGGAGGTTTCTTGGTACGTGAGACAAAGGAGCTCCTCTGTTCTCATATGGACCTACAAAATAAAGGCAAACAATTATAAACTAAGTTATCCACAAAACTAGTCTGCGTTCATAGTACTTCAAAGATGAAGAATACTTCAGCTGATGACATCCGTCGTAAGGTAGGAGAAGAGGAAAGCTGAGATGACCCTTGGACTACTTTAACTTTTTTTGATTCAATTTTTCTGTTTTTCTGTTTTTGTTTTTATGTCAATATTTAGTTGCTAATTTTCTGTATTTTATTAATTCAAAAACTTCCAGTTTCTTGGCTATGGATGACATGTGGATGACGTGTACGTTGAATTGTTGTTGTTGTTGTCTCTCGATTCTCTCCGATAACCTCCCCAAAGAGAAAGCCTTTATGTAGCATTTGCGTCCGGCTTTTATATAGAAATATCAATTTTTCAGGTTACAGCCTTTCATTTTACTCTGTTACTAGCAGCTGACCGATAAATGAGCCCGCGCTCACCCGCAAGGAGGAAAACCGAAGCTAAGTGAGTGAGCGGCAGAAATACAGTCTACGAATAAAAAATACAAAACAAAACAAAACACCTCACCAACCAGCAAATAAAAACAAACGTAGACCTAAAAGGTCTATTAAGGAAGTTAGCAGTTTTTATCGAAGAACTCTAAATGAAGGAAATGTACGAGCATTCCCAGTACCTTGATAAGTGAATGCCGGGTTCATTGCAGGCGTCATTGGTCGAGGGGCCTGGGGTCTCGATAATTGTACATCGTTTCTCTGAGGCATCATATCTCCATGTAATCTGGCACGTGCTGTCGCGGCTATTTCTCCCTGATCAAGTTGTTTCATGACCTCCATTACGCTGTGTTGTAACGAAAGAAAAAGATGTCGATAGAAAAGTTTCGGTTTTTGTTTTTCATGATTACGTGTCATGGTAGAGAGGTTCATTATCAATTAAGAACCAGTCATAAAGCGTTGAACATGGTTAAGGTTTCAATCTAATCTAAAGTAAATAAAATTAGCTGCCTTGGCGAGTTTGCAATTCGGCCTCGTAACTAGCTTCAATAATTCGGCAATTGCCTCGTCTCAGTTTTACAGTTAGGTGGCACACCCCCAGACCCCACCTGGCTGTTCCCCGGCGTGGCTTCTCCGTTTACAGCTAGTGTCTTGACTGCACTTAAAGTCTAGCACTTAAAGTCTAGCTACGACCCTCCTTTTGTAAATATTTAAGTAAACACCCTTAGACTAGGGAGGTAAAGCAAAGGCGTTTTTGAGAGATGCACGTTAACAGGAAGTGAGGACGTTTCCCTTTTAACATGCCTTAACGCTATAAAATTTGTACTGCTTAGTTTTTTTACACTCCAGAGACGATTTAACTGAAAATTTGGGGAAAACCACTGCTCAGAAATGTAAAAGATCCTCTTCCGATTGACTTACGTCGCTCAAAAACGCCTTTGCTCAAGTTCCCTACTATCTTGTCAAAACGGTCCCGTCAGAGTTTTTGTCAAGACTAAGAATGAGGAATTTTTCTTTACAGCAAATTAGGACACGTACCAGTCATCTGGATCACAATCCCGAAATCCTTTGGCAAATGGATTGCTGGCAATCTTGAGTTGTGTGATCTAAAACAAAATTGTCAGCACTACTCTGATTACATTGCAAACTTCGTTACTCCCAGCACCAGGTATAGAGAAAATTAAGACATATCTGTGTTCTCACAGGGAAAAAACCTATGGTGATGATATTTTCTTCTGCATTTTACAAAAGGACATTATTTTGAAATCTTGAACTTTAAAATTTTTTTGAGCCAAAGGGCTAAACTACAGCGCTATCCCTCAAGTAACCGGCCAGCCCAGTGATATCTTGGGCGTTAAAGAAAAGGGAATTAAAAAGAATGATCTGCATGTTTTAGCCCCAAAGTGCCAATTTAGCCGTGCAGGACAAAATCTGATTGAGTCTCTGATTTCGACACAATTTGAGTAAGAACAGCCCCATCAAATGCCTATTCCAGCCCACGCTGAGACTCATTTCAGCTCAGCCCGTGGGTCCAAATAAGCCATAGGTAACTATATGGACTGTAATAACCCTCATTGTGAGCTAAATTAGACCAAAATATTTACGTTTTTTCTCGCCAAAAACGGCTACATTTTTAGGGCAAAAACAGATCGGAATAATTTACAGTGTTGTGAAGGCAAATCCCCTCTTTCGAAATGGCCCAGTTAATAACTCAATTCTATACTTGGTTTTAAGATATAAAAAAGGAGTCACAGTCGTGATGATACGCACGGTCAAACAGTAGATTACATTAGCTCTGTTTAGTTGCTTCCAATAAAAGTGGAGGAAACGGGAAAACGAGGCCTTCTGCGAAAATTAGCTCAAGCGACTTCACCCACGGAATTGGGACTAACAACTCGAAATAATATTGGCTTTTATTTATACTATTATTTTGGCCCTAGCACTATGATTGCCGCAGAATTTGTAACAACTGATACGTTTCCATTAGGATCACTGCTGAGCCACTTAGCGTTTACAGTATTTGGCCAGCGCGAGGAAGGACAGACGAACTACTTTATGTGAAGGACCACTTAAAATCGCTAGGGTCAAGTGTTTATCTATCTGGCTAAAATGACATCACATGCAGAACATGTTATTGTTAAAAATAGTGACACTGTTTCACGGAAGGGGTGTTAAGAAAATTGCAAATTCAGCTAAGACTTGAAGGTAAAAATTAGTATAAGCGAAAAAACAACAACAACAACAAAGCAACAAAAAAATGACAACTGAGCAGCAGCAAAAAGATCAGAAACATGAACATCGGACTGTGTATTTTCAAACTTTTTAAATGTATAGAAAAATGTCCAAGTTCCGTGTTTGTGAATTTCAGTCAAGAGCGATATTTTGCCGAGCCTACTTCGCAAACACTTTAAACCTTCTATACAAATGATCTAGACAATGCGTAGGCCGGTTGAAACGCTGGCAATATTTAGCCTGCGTAGGATAGCGGTTTTGTCGGGAGCACTACTGACACTGCTGAGCGGCGAAGCCGCGCGAAAAAATTTAAAAAAACCTTCTCTCTGCTCC